GGACACTTATTCCGTAAAGTAGTAACCTAACAAGGATACTCATGACTCGGTACCGAATCCAGTTCGAGTGTTGTGGAGATCTAGGCGAGATCGAAACTGCAGTCAATCCTGAATCAGATAAGCTTCTGGGAGGCAAGACTACCTGAAAGTAAATGTCATCCCGAGGTCTAATCACCTAAGTGAGGGAAAACTCAACTAGCAGTTCTTAAATCACTTTAGGCGGCCTAAGATGATTGAGTTCTTATTCAAGAATTAGGAATAGTCTCAAAAACTACGCATAAAGAACATTTTAGCACTTAGGGCCTAATATAGCTTGCTTTCAACTTATCATGATATCTCCTTTTACTGATCCCTCTTATCCAACTTCTCAAGTTTCCTACCAATCTTGGTCCTCACCCGAAGTAAAACTATTAAAGAATTCATCTAAAGTGTTCGTAACTCGCAAAAATCCTCCGAGCATTAGATAGAGGCTGCCTAAGCCTGATCTTGGTCCTTACCAAAACAAAATATTCAAATGTTTTACTTAATTAATGAGATACTCTCTGGTGGGCAAATTTGAAGTAAAAGATAAAACGACATTATTATTAAAACGGCTTACCATACAGCTTGGCAGATAATTGAATCATGCTTTTCACGAGGCCCAGAATTAGGCCTCCATAAGTGCATACATTTTGTCGCATTTATCATACACGAAGTAAAATTATAAAAATTGTATCGAAATACTTTCGAAGATCGGTAAAGACTTCGTGAATAGCAGACTTGCTTATAAATTAATGCAAAACAAGATAAAACTGAAAATGGAACTGAGCATCTAGGTCATCTTGAGTGAACTAAAGAAGGATGGTGGAGTATTTCACATAATAAGATCAGTGGGTCCCACGACTCCATTCAAGTTGATCCAGCCTTGGTCTCACCACTACTCTAAGGGGTTTCGAAAATAGATCATACGTTTTGTGGCATACATTTTAGTACTATACAGCCACTATACAGTACTAGTGACTGACAGGAAGGAGGTGACTATCGTGGTAAACAAGACATTTTCCAAATCATATTTATGTCATGATTGTAGATGATGCCAACTTTTTTTGGAAGTATGAGTGTGCTTAAAAACTATCAGTAATCCTTGAATAAGAAATCATTTAACCCTGGAAGGCAGTGTTAAGTCAACTTTACTGACATTGTGTAACGAGTAGTAAAAACTCTTCTAGCAGTCCTTAAGTTATCTAAAGTGGTCTGGGGTGACCAAGTTCTTATTAAACTATTTAACCAAATATTTCCTTTCTCCTATATAAGTAGAGTTTCAAGACTACCAGCAGAAAAGTCAGTTCTACTCATAAAATTTTGGGAAAATTCCACTACCAGTCCTTCATCACCTTAAACGAAATAGAGTGAATACATCTCATATTTCCATTGTCACCACCTAAAATTATCCACGTTTAGGCTCACCTGCATTTTTAAAATTTTCTCTCAAGTTCGTATGTGATCCCGTGGTCTTCGGCTTCTGATTATCCCCAGTTGGCCGAGAGTACTTCGTAGTCGTGATACAATCATTGACAGATGGAGGGGAGAGTGAACAAGCCAGAACACTGGGTGAGCAAATCCTGCCGATCTGACTTCCAGACGGCCATCGCAAAATGAAGTCAGGAGGAATCTCATTGGTCGACGAGGAAGACTGGGTATTCGAATTTTCGCTCTGTTCTGCCTGCCGTCGTTGGTCAAACATGGATATCGAGGTTGGGGTCAAACAGGCCGGAGCCACATTGTCGAATATCGTAGGCTCAGGAGAGCAAGCCCGAGGCCTCGTTTTAAAACTGGCCTTTCTTGTACACTGTATAGAGGATACATGAAAGTGATGTTCGAGAGATCTTTAAGCAATACAGTCTTAAATGAGGCTTCCTATGCAGTAAAGTCATTTTAGTAGTCATTATGTTGTTAGGATCACCATTAACTGTAATTACTGAATTCAGTGGGAGTGAAAAAAGTAGAGACGAAATTGGCTTGGGATAAGAGCAAAAAGGGTAACTGAAGCTAGGCATAAGATTGCTTTGAGCTGAGTGCGAGACAGTAATTAAAAATGAAGCAGTTGAATAAAGTGTAACACCACAACAAGAAATGGGATAAACGGTGCCCTGGAGGTCTAGTCGCCCTGGTGACGTGATGTATTTATAAAATAACATCAAATCAGCATTAAACATGACCATCGAATAGAAAAAGCAACAAACGGCAATGTGAATAGGTAGAGAGTATGATTAATCATTAAAGGATGAAAAGGTGTAGAATTGGCCTGACGTCATCTTCGCAGAGCAATCTCAAGAAAGGTAACTTGTCCGGAGTCCCTGTTATAACAGTTGTGATAATTTCCCACATGAATCTGTGGTCTTATTACAATCCCAGGCGTTTCGCCAACATTGTAATAAGCATCGTCAATGAGTCCTGTCAATACAATCATCAAGCTGCAATTCATAAATGAGACACATGAAGTCCATTTCTACTATGCCACATACGATGGTGGTGAAACATCTGAGAATGTAGAAAGTATATGGTCCGCTGCTGAAAATGATCGCGAATACCATAGCAGAGGACTCCAGACAAGCTCAATTCAACGGAGTCTTCTTGACATTCTGGCCGAGTTTTCAAACAATTCTATGCAGGGAAACTAAACTGATACCAGAATAGAGATCACATCATCATAGCCGTCATACCTACGATAAGGTTTCATGCCTATATACAATGATGTATTGAGTAAAAGCAGTCGAAATAGACTTAATACAGCTCAATGCAGAATAGCAGCTAACTAAGATCGTGCATAACCTTAGAGAGGGCCAAGTGATTAAGCATAAACTAAGAAATAGCGGCAACTTTTGAATCTAGAGTAAGCCAAAAAGCTGGTTTGATGCTAAATGCCAAACGATTAAAAAGCCAATTTTCAATTATTGTATTCATCTGCTCAACAAAAATCTGGTCTGATAAGTTGCAATTCTGTGCTTATGATGGCGCCTCTCACTTAAGATGCCGATTACGATGTCGGGGAAACGTTTGGGAATGTACCCAGCCAATGGCCCAATGATGGGTCTTCCTGACGCTCCGACCAAGTTGCGAAAAGAAGCTCAAACAAGAGCTATTAAGCTAAAGGAGACTGCGACCAAACAGAGGCCACACCATATTGGTCTTCATATC